GTTTTTCATCATCCCTCAGATTCCTTGTTCACATCAATTGAGTGAAAGCATTTCAGCGTAATGCCCATTCCTTGAAATGGTTGGAACGCAACGTTTAAAAAACCACTCTTTCCACTTTTGCACGAGTATTCTATATCAACAAAGGTTCCAAATATGGAGTTTTTAGGCACTTTTTTTCAAGTCATCGTGTAAGATAGGAGCAACTCGATTGAATTTCAAGGCTATAAGTAACCTGCTTTTTTTATCTGCAGCATTTTGTGAGCGTTTCCATATCTGAATCGAGCTTAGTAGCAGCATAGATTTTCTGTTTTTTTCGTTGAAAAGCCTAAAGGTAGCTTCAGAGCTGGGATTTTTGTTTGAATAATACTTCAACACTGCACTTGAGTTTGGAAGCTTTTTTCTTGGAAGCTTTCTTGAAAACGTTAATTGTTTTCAAACCAATAGACGTTCTTAACATTAAAATTATTTGAAAAAGAGCCAATAGTTTTTTTCCCGAGCCAATTTGAGCTTTGAAAAAATTTGAATCACTTCAAAGTTTATTTGCTTGATGAGATTGTTCAAAAAGCTAATTTTTTTGCAAAGTGTTTGTAACTCTATGTAATTTGTCCGACTTTCGATACAAAAGCAACGGAAAATTTGTGCTCGGGGTGGGTTTTTTCTTCAGACAAATTTCGACTTTTTAGCTGGTCATTTTTGACGGAATGTTTTTAAGTCCTTCGGAAGGTAATGTTGTCCTGAGCTTAAATTTGAAAAAATATTTTACCTGTGATCAATTTTCGTAAAGTTATGAGGGTTTAAAGATTGCCATTTTGGCCAATTTGGGACAATTAACGCGCGATATATTTCGCGCTATTAACGCGTAAGCGGAGAGTTAATCCGTCTTAGAAATCGTTCTAAATTGATTGAAAAGAAGCTTATTTGCCATAATTGATTTGTTACAAGGAGCGAAATCAATCCTTTTGTACTTTATAAGGCGTGTGGGGTGATGATATTCATAAAAAATTTCAAATTAGAAAAAAGTTTCATTTTGTTTTATTTCATTTAATTTTTTAACCTAATTTCTGCTCCATAAACCTTAAAAAGCAGTGGGAACATTCGGGGTTTTGCCCTGATACGAGCAGTCTTGTTAGTTTTAAAGTTTTAATTTTAGTAGCTCTATGAATTAACTTAACGTTTTTAAGCTCCTTAAATCGGTTCGAAAAAAAAACAGACATTATCCATTAGACATTATTAATTAGGATGATTATAAAATCAAAAATTTAGTTTCGCCAAGTTTGAGGCAATAAATTTAAATAAATAGGAACTTCATCATTCAGTTTTAAATAGTTGGGAACTTCTGGCAAGCAAAGTTATATCTTGCAAGCAAAGTTTAAATAGTTGGGAATTTCATCATTCGATTACCTAAGTTGCTTCGCGTTTTTATCTTTTCAGCTAACAACTTCTTGCCTTGAATTAACTTGAGGTAACTCAAAACTTTTTGCTTGAAAAGGTTGCTTAAAATACTCAGATTGTTGCAAACCGGTGGATCATGCATTGAAATTATTTAAATTTTTCAAAGATTGCTTGATGAGCTTGATTTGAAAAAAAAAACGAAGTTCTTGCAAGTTGATTTGCGTTCTGAAAAATATCAAAAATTCAACAGCTGGAATTTTTTTGTTTCTGGAAATCATTTTCAAAAGTTTGAAATTTTTTCATCGCGTAGTGATTTTCTCAAAAATTTTTTCTTTTGTTTGCATTGATTATTTATACTACGGATATTTTTTTGGAAATTAAACCTCCCCGGGAAATCTCTATAGACGCCTTTTCATAAGGGAAGAAATTGTAGTAATTTTTAGATCTTGCGCGACCATTTACTTGAAATTTTGAAATTTTTTCATAGCTTTTTCGGTGCATGGCTGACATTTTTACGTCTGAATGTCAGTCATTCTTAGCTGATGCACTTGATACTCTAGTTCTTTCAAATTACTTGTAAAAGCAAAAACCACTAGTTAACCAACAATTTTATAAAAAAAAATTGTTCATGCAGCTTATTACCTTCGGTAGCTTTTAGGTTCACTAAAGCTACCTTAAATTCAAATCTTAAACTCAAACAAAAAAATTTCAATTTTTGATTGCTTGTTGAGGACTGCTGAAAAATCTGAAGACACAAACGATTAATTCTGTTTTTGCTGAGATAACTCACCCTTGAAGATGTGATCTCATTAAAAGAAATAAGAGAAACTTATCAACAGTGTCCGATATCCAATACCTAAATTTTGAGGCAGTGCATATTTTTGGCTAGGAGTCTTCAATGACACAAAGAAATCAAAAATTGCTATTTTTAATAGCAATAAATTTTTCAATTTTTCCATGAATCGTTTTAATATTTTTTAAACAAAATGATGGAAACTAAACCTCCACGGGAATTCTCTATAGACGCCTTTTCATAGTGGAAGAAATTGTTGTAATTTTTTACCTCAGGTTTTTATTGCTTAGACTCTTTTTTCGGTTTCAAATATACCGGCTAAAGTAATTTTGACTTAGTTGAATCATATTGCGTCATTTGAGTTCTGCCTGAGAACAGCTTCTTTTCTCAATTGCAATTGAATTGCAACAAAATCACAAAAAAAAAATTATTTGGTGAAAAATTGAGTTTTTTTTTTGAAAAAACTAATCGATCATAGTGTGAAATTTCTCTTTGTTTAATGACACTTAAAATTAACTCACAAAAAATGGAAACACAAACTATCGTTGCGTTTTTTACCTAATTGAAGAACGTAATTTGAGCTGAGGTTGAAACGTTTTTTACGTCGTATTCCATAGCATGAATCAGTGTGCGAAAAGGTATTCGCACATTTAAAAACTGTCAATTGAAATCACTTTCAACTCAAACGATGACCATTTGAAATCTCAATTTATTTTATCATTTCTAAACATGAAACGGATTGCAGAAAAAAAACTAATTTTAATTCAAGCAAGTGGACCACCAAGACAAAATCTGAATTTTATAAGAATCTGTTTCAAGCGTATTCAAAATTTTTAAAGTAAACTTGTCAAGCCATGAAATTTTGAAATAGTTGTCAAGGTTTTTCACTAAATGGTTTAGTTCGCAATAAATTTGAGCTTCACAGCATGAATCTTTGCTCAAAAGTAAAAAGTTTTTAAAGCAAGTTCTGAAGCAATGAAACTCGAAAGTTTTTAAAGCAATCTTTTGAGCAAGCAGCGTAAAGAAAAGTTCAATTTCCCAAACTCACTCGAACATCTTGATCGAAAAACTTTGATGCTCCCAAGCTAAATTTTGTTTATTTTACGACAAAAGAGAAAAGTTTGTTTTTCGTTTGCTCGCCGTAGAGATAAAACGTTAACGAAATCAAACAGACAAAAAAACTTGAAAATACTGTCTAGCCTTGAAAAAACTTGAGTTGATCTGGACTGAAGCGCTGCTGTCTTCAGCAGTTTCTATACTATTCTAAATTCAGAGAGTTCCAGAATGTCATTGGCATCTTTTTTTATTGTTGCACTCGACGTTAAGAACATTAAAATATTGTATTCATAGTGTCTGCTGACTTTCACTTAATATATAAGATGAATTGAAGTGTTGGGATTGATTTAAATTTGTTTCTGTTTTTTACATGTATTTATGAGTAGATCGCGTGTCCAAGTAGTTTTAGAAGCTAGAGTATTTACTCTGTTTAAATGCGTAAGCCTGTCCTTGTATAGGAGATCCATGAATAAAAATTGATTATAATTGAGTTTCACTGCCAGTGTTCACAAAAAAATTGATACTAATCAATGAAAAATGGATTATATCATTACGATTTTTCGAGCTTACAAAAATCATTTTTAATCCAATATAATCAATTTTTTTTTCACTTTTGTGGACACTGAAAAAAAAACTCAATTATAATCGATTTTTCTCCATTTTTTTGAGATGCGAATTTCACATAAAACCTTTTCTACGTTATAAACTAAAGTTGGTTATTTTTGATTATTTTAAAACATTGCTAATTTTGTTTCTTTTATGTTACTACCCGCTTCTATCCCCTCCTACAAAGGGCCAAACCTTAAGGGGGAGAGGTCAACGAAACGTTTTTGCTTTTTCAGTTTAGGTTTAGAAATTGAGAAGGCCGTACTCTCAGTTTGCAAAGATTTTGCACTACTCATTTTTTAAAAGTGGAAAAAAAACCCATTTAAATGTGATTTCGTACTTTTTTATAATCCGTTGTAATGGCTTTCAAATGAATTATAATGCAATTTAATTTTGCGAGAAAAAATTCATTTAAATCTATTTATTTGTCCAATTTTGTTGTCTAAGTCTAACATGGGAATCGTTTATCTTGAAATTGTTTTAGACCACAAAAAGCCATTATAATCAATTTTTTTTTTCACTTTTCTTAGATGCGGGTCCATTTCTGAGCCTGAGCCCGACTTGATAACAGAAATGATAGCAAGCGGAGATTTTAAAGTCGCACATTATAACTGTCGCACATGACTACCGCTACCACATAGAACCACAATGTTATGATTATTTTGCGGTTTCTGCTCACAATTTAAGGATTCCGCTTAAAGTTTGCGGATTCCGTTCACAGTTTGCGCATTCCGCTTACAGTTGCGGATTCCGTTACATTTTGCGGATTCCACAACAATTCAATTTAGTACACATAGATTTTATTGTTTGTTTGTGGATTCCACAAACTGTTCCGGAATGAACAAATACTGTTGCGGATTCCTCAAATGTGCATCTTTTTGGAGCCTTTTTGAGCAGTATAAATTTTTAGCTTTTGTTTGGGGAAACCAAAACAGCAAAGAAGATCAAAGAAAAGTAGCAATGTTGCGGATTCCGCGAGAAATCAGATTTTGGCCTGCTGCGGAATCCGCTTAAAATTCACAAAACGCACAGTTTGGCCTCGTACTGATATGCTAAAATACCCCAAAAATCCCATCTTTTTTAATAATACCAAAAATATAGACCACACAGCTGTCCAGCGAAATGCCCTAAAATTTTCCTGTTTCAGGAAGTATCTGTGACCTGCATGAGATGTGTGACGTAGCTCACAAGTACGGAGCCCTGACTTTTGTGGATGAGGTGCACGCAGTGGGTCTGTACGGAGAAAGGGGGGCGGGAATTGGGGAGAGAGACGGGGCGCTCCACAAGATTGACGTCGTATCCGGAACTCTGGGTAAAGGAATACCTTATTTTTGGGAAGTTTTAGTACAACGCTTTAATGATCTTTTCCCATTAAAGCCCCCTCCCAAAAAAAAATCAAAATGAAAAAACCACCACCGTGTATAGGAGATGTACTTGTTTCTAGGCTAGAGGGTATCAATAAAGTTAACAGTAAAAAAAACAAAAAAAAATAGTTGTCAAAAATAATCCATTATAATTGAAGATTATTGCAAAAAAGTAATTAACTACTTAAAATTAAAAAAAGTAATTAACTAAAAAGAAAGTGGACTAAGTGATGATAGTCCACTTTCCTTCTTTTTCTAAAATTGGTTATTTTAGCACAAATATTCAATAAAAATAAATTAGAAAACATAACAATTGATGTTTGTCCAGGCAAGGCTTTTGGAAACATCGGAGGCTACATCGCGGCTAACAAGACTCTAATCGACGTCATCCGAAGCTACGGTTCTGGCTTCATCTTTACAACATCCCTTCCCCCCTCAGTGCTCTACGGGACAATCGCTGCCATCCGAATACTGAAAGGGGAGGAGGGAGAGGTGTTACGTAATAGGCAGCAGGAGAATGTGAAGTTGTTACGTAATAAGCTGTTGCGAGTTGGACTGCCTGTGATTGATGCGCCTAGTCATATCATACCAATTCATGTAAGTTTTTTCGTTGCATTTTTGTTGTTTTCTAATTTTTTGGAACTTTGTTTTGTCACAATTTTGGTATAACTTATTCAAAGTTTGTGAGATTTCAGTCTGGCCATCAAAAATTTCAACAAATATCATCTATTTGTAGATAAAGAAGTTTTTGATCACAGTGCTGATGTTATGAAAGAAATTACAAAAAAAAATAGGTTCAGATCTGTCTATTTTGGCAAAACTATCAAAAACATTTAAAAAACTCTACTTTTCTGCGGAATAATTGTTCTGACTGTATGCTTCATCTAGTTTTGTACTTAATAAAGCGTGGAGGGGATGGTTTACAAAAAATCTCAAAATAACGGAAAACAAAATTTGAAAATTTCAGCAAGTTTTTGAAAGCGAACTATAAAACAGTACTTAAAAAGCAGTCGGAACATCCAGAGCTCCGCGCTAATACGAGCAGTCTTCTTGTTGCTTTTTCGCAATTTGAAGCTGTTTTTGCCTTTTTGTGTTTTTTTTTGTTGGATTTGATTAAGGCCATCAAAAATTTCTAAAATATGACCTCTCACATAGTTATAAAAACTGCAATTTTGATTGAAATTAAAATAAAAATATTCAAAATTAAACACTAGGTTTTGGAAATTTGCTTGCAAAAAAGTTAAAAAATTATTATTGAATGATGTTTTCTGTTCAGGAATTGAGCGGTGTCATTAAAAAAAGTTTCTATAGACCAAAATTTTTACCAAGTTTTGCCGGCGAAATGGAAATTTTTGTACCAATATTTTTAGGTTGGAAACGCAGAAGCATGCACAAAAGTATCCGATTACCTTTTGGACAGACACGATATCTACATCCAAGCTATCAACTACCCTACTGTAGCCAAGGGAACTGAGCGACTTCGGATTGCACCCTCGCCGCTTCACACGGAGGAGATGATGGATGAATTGGTGGGGGCTCTTTTCGAATCTTGGGTTGCGAATCGACTGCCGCTTAATGTTTTGGTGTCCCCGCCGCAAGGAAGTGACTTCTGTCGTGACAGGGCAGAGGAATTGCCATTGACTTTCAGTCAGAGCTGATTGCCTGTCAAAAATGGACAATGAAGGCATATTGTTACGATTTTCATATGTTAACGTTATTGATTAAATAACATCTGAACTGAATTATGTGCAAACTTGGGAAGATTTTAAACTTAAATAGTTTTCTTAATTTATGTTTGAATGTCAACCGAATGAAGCCTGGAATCCATACTAGCAAGCGTAGTCGGTTAGTGAGCATAAGTAGCATGAAAATCAGACCACACTCAGAAAAAAAATCGAACATGAAGACCAAAATATAAAATATCAAGAATTTTTTGTCCAAAACTTCTGTTTTTGTTCGTTTCTTAGAAAAGACTAGTGAATTAAGTGGGAAAAAAACAAGTGGTAATAATATAATAATATAGTAATAATATAATAGTATAATTGGTAAATAATAGTCGGTCGCTGTGCAAGTAGCACAGAAAACTCGTGCAAAAAAAAAACAATTCAAAAATGAAGTAAAAAAATCTAACTGATGTTTTGAGGACTGGATTGATTAATAGATATCCACTTTTTTTGCCAGCCCATACCTTTCACGTAAATTTTTTTTTTTCAAAGAATCGATTTATCTACGAGAAATTGAAATTGTTGAATATCACCTGCTGATTTGAACAAATTGATATGACAATGATGTGTGTTGAAATCAAAAATTCGAGACCGTCGACTCAGCTGGTATAGTTTGTGCTTGACATATTTTTTATTCAACTCTTTATGTCATCTTGCAGTTGCATCTTTTACGAACTCTTGGTTTTTGTAGTTTTCTTCATACGAGTCATCAAAAACGAAAAAAAAAATGTTTTCTAGGTTGTAGAGAGCCTCTAAGTGTGGAGCTGCATAAGAGCTGTATTAATTCATTTCGGCACTTTTCCGTTCATTGGTCGGTTTTATTTGAGCACTTCACTTTTTCCAAATCCTGATTGACATTCGATGTCCATCAACACTCTCGTTTGTGTATCTTGAATTTTGTTGAAATTCTGGGGTTTAGTTATACGTATCCAACTAAATCTAAAGATAACTTAAGTAGGCGAACAATCAAAAAAACTACAATTGTTTCTCTGTTAAAAAAAACATCGTATTTAGGCGTGAGTATACAAACATCTATCCAATGTTTCCAAATTTTTCCCTCACAATCTACTGAATCATTAAAACTTTCTGCTACAATTGTTGCATTTCCATATATGAATACTGTACGAGAAGCCTTTTTCTTACTAAAAGCAAAACTGAGGAAAGTCCCTAAACCTGTTTCATGAATAAAAATACGTTCTTCAAAAAAGTCCACGCAGAGAATTTCTTCACAGAAGAATCAAAAACAAAAAGAGTAGTCTGTGTATTGTCAGCAGTTTTGTCTTTTGTCTCTAGATGATAGCAGTAAACCAACAAAAACGACTTTCAACCAGTTTTTTCAAAAGGAAGCCTCCTAGACATAACCAAAAAAAATGTTTTTTTTTCTTAAATAAAATATTGAAAAAAACTTAAAAGATTAATTTAATAAGCGTCTATCGGTACCTAGTTTAGGCTGCAATTAAATTGTTGCCTAACCTATTGGTTTTTTTTGTGGTCATTCAGGGCATAACCTAAAATATAAAGCGAAACTTGAAAAAACTGCAGAATAAACAACGCTTGTCATATAATTTCATGGCATAGAACGAACGCTCATCTTGGTTTTCCTAATGCAAATGTTTTAAATCTTTGTCTATCTGTGGAATTTTTTGATAAATAGCATGCTATCTATAGTTTAAAACTGTAGTTTAGAACTGTTTTTGTTTTAGTTTAGAGCTGTTTTATAAGCACTTTTTATTAATCCATGAAAACATTTTTTTAAAGAATACGAAACGATACAAACATCTCTTTGTAGTTTGCTTTAAGGTGTGAGAGATAGTTTATTACAAAAACAAGAAAAAAGTGTTTTTTTGTCGTTTTCCTTCAATCTTTCAACCAAAACTTATTAGTTGGCCTCAAAACGCAATCAGAATAATTATCATCATAATGCTAATCAAATAATCATCAAGAAAACCAACTTAAATCTGATAATTTTGATAAACACAAGATACTTGCTTCATCCAATTAGAATCCCGTTATATTGATGTCTGGTACACGTGTTTATCATTTTGAAAATCACAGGAAACTAAAACTCCTTCAATTTGATAAGAAGTTTTTTTTGTATTCAAAAACTTTATTATTGTGCCGACCCAGTCTTAGGACGTTTAATTTTAAAAACACAGACTCCTGGACCTCTTTTTGGAATTGGGTTCTCAGTAAAAAGTCACCACTCAAACTCCTGGTTCATGCCGTCAAGTATTATCTTTTCGGATTCATACTTTCGGTAAAAAGTCACACCTCTATTTCTCGAGAAGTTTCTGAATACCACGAGAAGTTCGGTAGCCAAAGGTTTGGAATAAGATAAGTAGAATCAAGATACATCAAAAGTTACTATTTGAATTGATTCCAGTGGCTAATTTGGAATTTAATAGCACTGTGAAAAAACAAACCCCTGGACCAGAAATAATTATAGGGCTTGTTGCTTAAATAGCGGCCTCAGTTGATAGGTACTAGTTCTGCAAAATCACCAAGGTAGAAAAATCCTTCTGGGATACCATTTGGAGTTTTTAGTTTTTTTTTCCAGAAGAAAGGACACCATAATTTAAAAGATTGATCACTTGGGAAGTATGAATCAGGTTTGGATAAATTTGGTTGGACGCTATAAAAAACCCTGAATTATTTCTAGCTGACTGAATTCTATTGATTTTTTCGCCTGAAATTGTGCCAAATTTTATGAGCTGAGGCCTCAAAACTACAAAAAAATACCACAACTAGCAAGGAAAGTAGAAAAAGGAATCGAACTCTGGAAAAAAGAATTGAACTCTTGGAAAAAGGAATCGAGCAGCTGCAGTGCAACTGAAAATGAGGCGAATACATTGTAAGTGAGAGTTTGACGTTTGCCGAGAAATGGGTGACAAAACTTGGTTGTTCGTAAAAGTGAATTGATAAATTAGTTGTTTAGATTCTTAGTTCCAATTTAATATTTGTTAGTCAAGCTTTGACTAAGAGGAAACATAGATTGAGAATCAGCATAAATATACACCTAGCAAACGATGTAGCAAAACAACAGAGTGACCACGCACAGCGTAACACTCAGTATAGGCCAAGCCAGTGACCTTGAACATAACTGGTAGTGAAATTAGCAGCATAACTGCGAAAAGGCAAGTAAAAAGCCAGGTACCGAAGGTCACCTCATGACATTTCCCGCGGAAGAGAAAAATTTTGAAACTGATTTCAACATTTTTGTAATTAATAAACTGCACACAGATGGGCATTAGATAGATAGCACCCCTATCCCTCACAAATGCAAGGTGGCAAATAATATAGATTATATTAAGTTTAGCAAAGTATTGAATAGTTTGATAGTAAACAATAGTCAATCTTCATCTTGAGTTTAATTGACCAATGAGGAGTAAGACGCTTCCAGCAGAGCCAGTTGAGGTCGATCACGAATAAGCGTTTTCTAGGCGAATGCGAGAACGGTAGAACGCTCCCAGAGGGTAGGTCACAAACCTCCTCCCTCAATCTTGTATAACTTTAACAGAGTGCCGTAAAGGATCCACAAAGAATTTCGTAGCCTTCTTGCTACGTGATGAGGTCCTGACAACTTCCGAATCATCCACTACTGGCTGGGCGGGAAGAGACAGAGAAGGATATGAAGAGTGTGTTTCTGGAGGTACGTGTTGTGAGGATGGAACAAAACCCTCAGAAACAACCTTATCCCTTGTAGACTGCTGAGGAGTAAAACTCGAATCAGCAAATGTGACTGGCGGCAAATCTTCCTGGAGCCTTGGTCGCTTCTCCACTGGGGTAGATTCCCGAACCACCTGTAGAGTATTCGGACCAGATGAGCCCTCACATGAAGAATCAACTGTGAGATCCACCAACTGTGATACACTAGGGTCGTCAGGTCGTTTCTCTAACAGGATTGGTTGAGAGCGAGTAGCTGGCCTTTTTTCTACACTGCGTGAAGTCGATCTTGGTGCTTGAAGGCGATCACCTAGTGTGTTTTGACACGCTGAAATGTTATTACGGAAGACAAACATGGTTTTTACGATAAACTTTTCCTTTGTCAGTAACATAAGTGTGATCGGTAATCTGAGTAACCTTGAATTCTGCAGACTTATAAAGAAGTTTGCCGGACTGACGATCTATATTTTTTCTAATGACTCTAACTCGACTAGGATTGGATAAGAGAAGGGTTTCCAATTTACTTGTTTTAGTCGGGCGACGGGGTTGAAGAATTGGTAAGCGACGGGAACTGGCCTGAGCCCCTGGGTGCATAGTACCTGACTGACCCTCCGAAAAACAGAGTGTGATGTGTGAAAGACCTGTTTTTAGAGAACGAGCCAACTCTGAGGCTCACTCTCAGCAACATTACCCTCCAGGGAGAACATGGGCTTAAATCGTTTGGCAATCGGAGGGCTGGCACTTCCTCTCGGCACCACCTTTGCGCGATCCCGACTGTAGTCCTGGCTAGCAATTTGGTCCGGCGTTACGAGGTTGCGCTCAAGTCTTTGTGCTGAAGTATCAGAATTAACAACATTATGAAAAGCCTGTGACCATTCAGTATTTGGCTCATGTCCAAAATGTAATTCAAAAGGCAACTTCTTAAGTATAGAAAGATTACTCTTGCAAATAGCTTCAATTATCCGCTGAAGCGTCTCTTTAAAAGTATCAAAATTAGGATCAAGTTTCGCCGTGCCCAATTTGCGTTTCATAGTCTGTATCATACGTTCAATTAGATCAGAGCCTCTATGATCGCCAACGGGTGAAAGAATATGTCTAATACCTCTACTAGAACAAAATTGTTGTACTAAATCATTCTTAAACCCAGAGCCATGATCAGCCATGATAGAATGAGGTAAACCATGAATACGTATTTAGGATTCAAGGAATTTTGTAACCTTCTTAGCCCCAGTAGTTTTAGTAAAAAGAATAGAAGGAAATTTCGAGAAACGATCGATAGCTACCAAGAGGAATATCTCCGCAACTTTGTCATCTAGTATAGGACCAGCAAAATCTAACTGAAGCTCCTGATTTGGCCTTGAAAAAT